TGACATGTTCAGTAGTTGTGGAGCATGAGTTTAGTTGTCCCCTATTATGTGGGATCTTTCCAGACTTCCCTAGTGGCTCAGATGGTAAAGCATCTACCCACAAGGTGGGAGACCTGGGTTCGATCCCTGGGTCGGGAAGATCTCCTGGAGAAGGAAATGGCAACCCATTCCAGTACTCTTGCCTGGAAAATCCCATGGACGGAGGAGCCTGGTAGGCTACAGTCTATGGGGTCGCAAAGAGTTGGACACGACTGAGCTACTTCACTTCCCAGACCAGGGATCGAACTCATGTCTCCTTTCTCTAACTGCCCAATTAGTAAAATGAGGCTCCGGCTCCATAAGGGGGACAAACATATACTTGGAAGTCCTGTGACAGGAAAAGCTCACATGGCGCACAACACCATTTCTGTTGTATCAACCTATGTCAGACTAAAACCTGGCTATAAGATAACTTAACATTTATTTGCTGGACTTCATAGAGTTTAGAAGACTTTGGACAGGTGTTGTGGGTGGACTAAAGTCTTCAAAAGCAAACAAAAGAGAGGAGGTAAAATTGATGTTTATCCTTCCTCTTTAGCTCAGCTAGTAAAGAATCTACCTGCAATGCAGGAGACGTGGGTTCGATCCCTGGGTTGGGAAGATCCCCTGGAGAAGAGAAAGTCTACCCATTCCAGTATTCTGGCCTAGAGAATTCCATGAACTGTATAGTCCATGGGGTAGCAAAGAGTCAGAGATGACTGAGCGACTTTCACTTAGCTGACGAAAGTATTAAAAATGTTTTCAGTGTTTTTAAGTTCATAAAGGGGAAGGTCCACACTTGACACCAACTGGACAGATTATACAATGTCCAAAGTACCTGCCAGTATCCTCCAATCAGAATGGTTTTATTTTTTTATTTTTATAATTTTATTTATTTATTTGGTTGTGCTGGGTCATGGTTGCTCTGTGGGCTTTAATCTAGTTATGGTGAGCAAGGACTATTCTCAAGTTGTGGTACATGGGCTTCTCATTGCGGCAGCTTCTCTTGTTGCAGAGCACAAGCTCTAGAGCATTTGGGCTTCGGTAGTTTCAGTTCCCAGGCTCTAGAGCACAGACTTAGTAGTTGTGTAGCATGAGTTTAGTTGTCCCATATTATATGGGATCTTCCCCGACTAGGGATCAAATTCATGTCTTCTGCATTGGCATGTGGATTCTTTACCACTGAGCCACCAGGAAAGCCCCCAGAACTTTCTTTTTTAATACATTTAAGAGGCTGTCAGTTCTTAAAGCAAGGGGTTTTCCAGGTGATGTAGTGGTAAAGAATCCCTTTGCCAGCGCTGGAGATGCAAGAGACGCAGGTTCGATCCTTGGGCTGGGAAGATCCCCTGGAGAAGGAAATGGCAACCCACTTCAGTATTCTTGCCTAAAATTCTAAGGACAGTGGAGCCTGGTGGGCTACAGTCCATGGGTTCAAGAGTCGGACACGACTGAACACACACACACACACACACACACACACAGAGTGTTCCAAGCTGTCCCGCAGAAGGCTTGTCACTAATCTGAAAGCCAGCTGGGCTCTTACTGATGCTTTCACTGTCCAGAAAATGGCTGATTTCCTGGTGCCCATTACTTTCATTAGAGGCTCTTTATCAAAACAAACACTCTAGTAAATACGTTTATTAAATCTCATTTTTTATTTTAGAAATCAGGGTTTTTAAAAATTTAACTTATTCACATTTTACGTCCTTTGGTGCCTTTAAGAGCCCAGCAGGCCTTCACTTAAATAAACAAACCATTAGGCTGAGACACTCTGTCTAAATGGGCACATTAGCAGGTTAATAAATCTAGTCACTTAAGAATTTTAGTCTTGACAAAGATACTCTAAAGGGAAAGAAATGAAAAGATTCTAGTCTAAGGAAGCCCCCAACCAATGACTCATTGCATATACACTGAAATATTTCCTCTCCTCTGATCTTCCTGGGTTCGGCAAGAATTTAGATTAATCATCCTTTAGGCTCTATCCTGGATCAGGAGGGAAGATTTTCATGGCCTGATTAACTACTGGGGACTTTTTCCTAGAATGGGAGGAGGAAAGCAGGAATATTTGTTGGGGGGCATTTGAAAGCTAACGTGTAGGTTTGCTGAGCACCTCCTTGAGCCCTGGGCCCCCAGGCAAGAGAGGAGGTGAAGGGAATGCCCCCGGCACTACCACAGAGACTCACCCACCTCCATTTTTCCTTCATCCATTCACTGAACACGTGTTCACACAGTAGGACATGTGCTACAGGAAATAATAAGACATGGTCCCTGCCTGCAGGGAGCTAACAGTCTAGTAAAAAAGGCAGCTGAACAGGCAATTAGAGGAAATTTCATGTTAGGATAAAATGCTTTCTCCCCTCATTGCCCTTCTAGAGACTTGCATGATGTACCCCTGCCTCTCTTGGTGAACCTAACCCCACTCCCTTTGCTGCAGTCTCACTGTCCCTTGAACAGGCTGCTCTTGTTCCCAGCTCAGAGCCTTTGCACTTGCTGTACCACCTGCCTGGAGCAGTCTTCTTTCCAGTTCATGAGGTCTCTCCTCAAATGTCACCTTTCCCAAGAGGTCTCCTTTAGCACCCACCTGAGAAAGGATCCCTTCCACCGCCTCTCTATTTCCATGTTCTTAATAGCACTTGTCAATAATTAAGCCAGCTGTGGACCATCCATCAGAATGTAACAGGCAGGAAGACAGGACCTGTTTTATGCTCATGGCAGCTTCCCTAGAACAGTACTTAGGGCCAAGGAGGTGCTCAGGAAAAATTTGCTTGTAAGTAAGTACTGTGATAAGAGAGGTACAGCAGGTAAGAGAAGTGACATTTGCGGGAGGGAATTAGTCAGACTTGGGGAGGAGGAGGTTACAGAGGAGAGAATACAGAGAAAGCAGGGTAAAGAGGCTGCAGAAGGCCCATCAGAATGCTGAGTGAGCAACTTCTCGATGCTGGCAAAACCTTGGCAAAAGGCTAAAGAGGTGAGAAAGAGCACCCATGTCTGGCCTTCAACAAGGATCTGCTAAACTCTCCTCCAGCAAGTTACCCTAGAAGCCCTCCTCCCTGGAAACCAGAACAGCGGAGGGAGAGGTATTGATGAACGGCACCCTCTTGTGGCCAGAATTCCTTGAACAGGGTGCTCAGACTATGGCTTTAGCGTGTGGCCCAAAACCTGCTTTCTCTGATTTGATTCTCCCTTCCTTTTACCAAAACCAATCAAACAGACAAACAGAAAAACAACCACCCAGTGTAGCAGAGTTGATCCTTTGGTGATACCGCTCCTTAGACTTGTCATTTGGAAAGAGTTCATCTTGCTTAAAGGTTGGGGCTCCTGAGCACATCCCACATCATTAGTGCAGGACACAGCAGCCTGGTGGCAGGACTTACAGCCGGGAAGCCTGGTCCACACTCCAGCTGTGGCCTGGGGCCACACGGGGGGGACAGAAAGGTCAGGCCTGGGCAGCTGAGGGAGAGGCCAGGACAGTGGTCAGCACTGCATGGGACAAATGCCTCCACTACAGTCATCTCCCACCCTCTGAGCCACCACAGAGACTGCAGCCAAACAAGCTGCCAATAAAGTAGGAAAAACTCCATGGCTGAGGCTAGTNATCCACGATTTCCCAGACCCCTCAATCAGCCATGAGTGAGATCCGTGAGGAAAGAACAGGTGGAGTGTAAACTAGAATGAGGCTGGCAAGCTCCTGGGGCCACAGTCAGGCAGTGATTCCAGAAGGAGGGCCTCCTGGGAAGAGGCAGAGCCAGTCCCCAGGTGGTGACTCTATGCCAGACACTGGAGGAATCGCAGAGGAATCAGAGGCAGACAGGCTGTCAGTGCCATTCCTTCATCCCTTGGGGGTGACACTGCCTAGCTCCTGGGGTGAGGCTCATCCCCACTCTGGGGCCAAGGGACTTGCCCTCTGGAAAAGGACAGGGAGTGAGCAGGAGCTTGGAGATCTGGGTTCCAAAGGCCAGTGTGGCTCACAAGGCAACTGACGTTGACTTCTTGAGACCTCCAGACCCTTCTGTGAAAGATAGGAAGAGCGCTGCCCCCTCCAACCCCGCTTCCAGGGTTTTTAAGAATCAAGAAAACACAGGTGAGGTGACAGTATCTAGTGAGGTAACCAACATATGATTTTCCCTCCCCCTTTTCAGTGAAACCACCTCTAAGACTCCCTGGAAGGTTGCTGCTCAGATACAAGAAGACTCTCCCCAAGAGGCTGAGCCTGGGGGAACAGAGAAGGATGGCATTTCTCCTACTGGGCTGCTGGCAAAGCAGGGCATGACACACCCGGTCTAAGCACTCAGTCTCCGGTCACTGTGGGACCTGGGGGCCCGGGCCCAGCTGAGGGTGGGGAATCAGGCTTACCTGAACACCCTGGGCCCAAGAAGACCTTCTCCAGCTCTGTCACCATGCCTTTCAATACCATAGCCCAGACAGCTGTCTTGAGTCTGTGGCTCCCCCCCCACCCAGGACTTCTGGGACTAAACACTTCTTGCTGATCAATGCATGATGACCATGCTAATCAGATTACTGGACACCAGGCTGCTGAGGTGCAAGAGCAAGCCTGGGGCGGTAGCGAGGAGTGAGGGCAGAAGGAAACAGGGGACAAACTGGCTCTCTGGAAGCCTCACTACTGGCACCTGTTACCTGGTGTCCCCCAGTGGCCCCCCCAGTGCGTGAGGGGTCGTTTGTGAGAGCTTGAGTCCTACAGGAATTCATCCTCTTTCACTGGGTGTGGTTTTCTGCCTATCAGACTGGAAGCTTCTTGAACCAAGGGAGTCTTTGCCTCTTTCCCCTGCATCTTCCCTCAGCCACAGTGGGGTGAGGGGTGGAGGGCTGGGCTTGCATGTCCATCTCCAGTGGCAGACCCTGGACACTGTGAGCTCCTGGAGGCCACTGCCTCCAACTGCCTGCCTTCAGGTGCGGTGCCCTTTCTCCAAAGCAGATGTGTTGGCAGGAAAGGTGCTTCTAGAGGGGTGCCCAGAGTCTCCTACCCTGGACAGTGACGCGGGCACTGCAGGACACCTGCCCCATGGTGTTCTCAGCCAGACAGGTGTAAGTGCCATCGTCCTCCGGGAGGGTGTCCTGGATGTGGAGCTCGGCCACGCCAGCCTCGCAGGTGGAGCGGGCATACTGGATGGGCTGTCCTGGGGAGGGAAGCATAGTAGGGCTCAGGCCAGGGAACAGCCGGCAGAGGGGTGGGAGTCCTGTCCTCAGCAGGGCAGCTGCTGTCATGATGCTGGGGTTCCCCACACTTGCTCAGGCCCACTGAGGGCTCATTATGTGTTAGGACCACCCCCAAGCAGCTGGACAGAGGCTCAAGGGGGAGAGAGAGAGAGGTAGGAGACAGGGAGGTGAAGGAGAGGGGGTGATTGTGAGGGTGGAGGAGCAAGACTGTGGCTGGTAGGACTTGGGGGAGAGATTCTGGAGGCATTTAGAATACAGGCAGGAAAGGGAGAGTTCTGTGCATTCTGTTTAAATAAACAGTCCCCAGATACACATCCTAGACTGCACAGGATTCTAAGCCTGGAAAGAATCTCACAGGGTCACCTGGCCCACAGCCCAGCCTCAGGCAGAATGGACCTCACCCAGACTGCACATGAGACTCCCAGATCCTTTTAGATGTTTCCAGAAACAATGAGCCTATTTCCCACTGCAGATATTTATCAGAAGTAATTCTGCACCCTCAGCCTAACACTGCAATGGGTTGCATTTTTGGATTCACAGAAAAAATAAATGCAGGGGATTATAAAAACAACTCTGGCCCCTTCTTCCAAGTCCCTTGCATGAGAGGCCCTTTATTCAGGTCCGTAAAGTCCTGCATGGAGACAGAAGTGTGTGCCATGAAATTCAGTGGTTTCCTTAATGCTATACGTTCCCAGGATTTTATTCTCTCAGGATGTGAGCTTTCATTTCCAGGAAAAAAGAAAATTTCATTACTGAAGGTCCTGGCCTTAGAGCAGGAATGTGTCCATTTACCATATAGGAAGCAACTGTCAGTTCCTTTCCCTGTCAGCCCCAGGGTCCTGGTTTGCACTTCATAAAACAGGGGGTGGGCAATGGGAGAGGGAGAAAGTGCAGAAAGAGGTCTTCTGTGCACGACACAATGTTTTCTTCTGCTCATAGCAACACTCATGTCTCCATGACAGAGACTGCCAAGCCAGCCACAGGGCCAGGGGGAAGAGATTCCACTGGACCGATGCACTTCATAGAAGTGGGGCTGGGGGCTGGGAGAGCCAAGGGGCCAGGATCCTGCCACTGTGAGGACTGAACACTGTTCTCTGTGTGTGTGTGTCTCTAAATGCTCTTTTTCTTGAGAATGCCAGTATATTCCCCGACTGCCAGCAAAGTACCTCTGCTGTAGAAATCTGTTCCAGCAAGCTGTTTGAGAGTTCCCCTTTTACTGGAGCATAGCTCATTTTGACTCCTCAAGCATGGGGTGCAACGGTGGCCCCAGAAAGGAGTTGTTGGCTCAGGGCACTCAGAATTGGGCGACACATAACTCCCAGCTCCAAGACCGATAAAACCGGAGTTGGCAGCCAAGGGTCCCCGAGTTGTGCATGATCGCCCTCTAGTGGGAACTGTGAAAATACCAAGATTCACCAAGAGTAAGAAGGTGGGTTGCCTTTCAGTCTGGAGAGGTGTAAACCAGAGGTCAGCAAACTCCTGCTCCTAGGTCACATCCCACTTGAAGCCTGTTTTTGTATAGTCTGAAAGTTAAGGGGATAGTTTTCGCATATTTTAAATGTTGGGAAAAAATCAAGAGAGGGATATTTCATGATGTGTGTGAAAATTATATGAATTCACATTTGTGTCTATAAATAAAGTTTTATTGTGTTCATTTATGTGTGGTCTCTGGCTTTGTTTGTGCCATGACAGCAGAATTGAGTAGCTATGACAGAGACTGTGTGGCGTGCAAAGGTGGACACATTTACCATCTGGCCCTTTATAGACGATGTTTCTTGACGCCTGGCCTGGACCTTGAGCCAAGCGGGAGGGAAACACTCTTGTTCAGATCCATTCCTAGCCCTTAACATCCATGCTGCGTTCCAGCTGCAAGGAGGCCACCTCTGTGCCGTCAGTCGTGGGATCCAACAGGAGCTCTGTCGGTAGTAAGGGGTGGAGGGGAAGACCCCCGTTCTCACCTCTCTGCCCAAGAAGTCCACAGATAGGGAGACACCAAGGCAACTTCCTACGCTGACTGAAGATCGTTTCTAGCAAAGCCTGAGCAAACCATACTGACGAGGCAGGTTCATGGCAACAGTGCAGAGATGCCTGGGGACTATTTGGTGCACAGGAGATGGGCTGCTGATCCCTTAAAGAGTTCATTCCATCAACTGCGAGAGCTGGTAGAGACTCTAAACCTCTGTTCCAATCCATCTCCTCACCAATAAAGAGGTTGATTCCCAGGGTAGTAAAGTGGGGCTTCCAGGGTCACCCAACCACTCAATACAGAGGAGGACAAGTGCAGGCATCCTTTTAGCCTCCCCTAAGTTCCCCTAAGTAGACCAATTCAACTTCATCAATTTTATGGACTATTTCAGTTCTAGCGATAGATTTCTCCCATATATACTTTTGGAATTTAAAGGCTTTTTTCTTTAAAAAAAAAAAAAAGAGAGAGAGAGAGAAGAGTGATAATATGTAATAATTTTTTTTTCAAAGGACTTTACTTGGTAAAAAGAAAGTTGGGATGTCTCTATAGGACTATAATGTTAAAAAGAATTACTGGTCTATGAACCCTTAAACCACCTGCCACTAAATAAAAGGCAAGATCCCATGAGCAACTGCTAGTGTGGTTCATTAATCTGTGGGCTTTTTTGTTCACTTATTGACTCAACAAATATTTATTGAGAGCCTACTTGTGAGCCTGGCTGTACGAAAAGAAGCTAAATTGCTTGTGCACCTGTGTGCCAGGCATCTCATTAACTGTCGTATATAAAGAATCTAATTTGACAATCACCATCTGAAAGATAAGTGGCCTCACTCTTGTAGACGAGGAGCTCAAGGCTCAGAGAGGGGTAAAGCTTGCCCGGTGTCCCCAGCCAGGCATGGGCAGACTCCCAGGTCCCATGCTCTCTCTACACTCCATGCTTCTTTCTCATGCATAAATGGTTCAGAGTGATATATGGGGAAGCTAAGCAGGAATTCAGGCAAGGCCAAAGGCTCGGGGGGCTGGAGCAGGGGGTCTCACCATTGAGCAGCCAAGTGATTCGAGGCACTGGGGTCCCCTGTACTGAGCATTGCAGCACAAAGTCCTGGCCCTCAACGACGGTGCAGTCCCTCAGGGCACTGGAGAACGAAGGGGCCACCTCCACCACGGCTGGCTCTGTGAGGGCAAAGGACAGACAGGCCGTCTCAGATCACCACCGCCCCACGCTGGGGACTGACCACAGGCAGCCACCTCATTGCCCTGGGCACCCAGGGCTTGCTCTCTCAGTGGTCTGGCTTTGCCTCATCCATCATCACACAAGGAAGCAGGCAGTACCACCATGTTGAGACCTGGAGCCTGAAGCAGAGTGACTTCAGGGCCTTTTTCATCATCACAGGACACCCCACGTCTGGGAGTGCTCAGGACAGGGCCAGCCTCTTCTCCTCCAGGACACTGGTCCCTCCTGCTTTGTCCGGACTTTCACTGTCCTGGACATCCACCGAGCTCCTTCATCCCCTTTTCTTGGCCTTATTCTACTTTCTCCTGTCTTATATTATCCTTGATGTGTCCCATCAGACCCTGCACACTTTTTATTTAAATTTTAAAAATCCTGAAATGTTTCATTAGATATAAAATGTGGATAAAATAGATTTTTTATTTTATTTTTTTTAATGTATTCAAAGATAAGCTTTATTCCAATGTTTACATAAAAATGAGTTGATGTCGAACAGGAAAATGTTTTTATAAAGGGTTAAAATTTATCAAACAACAGAACTTGGTCCTTCCCTTTAGTTTGAATTCAACTGGCTGACGCATCATTATTAGTATCCGCCCTCACTAATCATTTTCATCACACACAATATCTAAATGTCTTTGGATGGCACTTCCTATTTCTCTGGAAGTTTCCTAAACTGCTTTCAGTTACAAGAGAAGGGCAAGGATTTTATCAGCTCTTACTCTACTCCACTGGAGGCAAAGATACACCCCTCAATTTTCTTGTTTAAATTGTGGCTGTTGACTGTTTATAATAGCCAGGACATGGAAGCAAGCTAGATGCCCATCAGCAGACGAATGGATGAGGAAGCTGTGGTACATATACACCATGGAATATTACTCAGCCATTAAAAAGAATTCATTTGAATCAGTTCTAATGAGATGGATGAA